AGTCATCCTCACTTTCTGCAAGCAAGGTGGTATCATCTGCATATTACAGGTTGTTAATGAGCCTTCCTCCAATCCTGATGCCGTGTTCTTCATAGAGCCCAGCTTCTTGGATGATTTGCCCAGTATACAGATTGAATAATTATGGTGGAAGGATGCAACCCTGATGCACACCCTTACTGATTTTTAAACCATGCAGTATCCCCTTCTTCTGTTCAAACGACAGCCTCTTGGTCTATGCACAAGTTTCACATGAGAATAATTGAGTGTTCCGGAATTCCCATTCTTTGTAATAGTATCCATAATCTGTTATGATCCATACACTCAAATGTCTTTGCATAGTCAATAAAACACAAGTAAACATCTTTCTGGTATTCTCTGCTTTCATTCAAGATCCATCTGACTCAGCAATGATATCCCTTGTTCCATGTCTTCTTCTGAATCCAGCTTGCCATTTCTGGCAGTGCCCTGTCAATATACTGCTGCAACCATTTTGAATTATCTTCAGCAAGATTTTACCTGTATGGGACATTAATAATATTGTTCGATAATCTCCACATTGTATGGGATCACCTTTCTTTGGAATGGGCACAAATATGAATCCCTCCAGTCAGTTGGCTGTCTTCCAAATTACTTGGCATAGCAAAGTAAGTGCCTCCAGCCCGGCATGTTTGTTGAAACATCTCAATGGATATTCTGTCAATTCCTGGAGCCTTGTTTATCACCAATTCCTTCAATGCAGCTTTGACTTCTTCCTTCAATACCATTGGTTCTTGATCATATGCCACCTCTTGAAGTGGATGTTCATCTACCAATTCTTTTTGGTACAGTGACTCTGTATATTCCTTCCATCTTCTTTTGATGCTTCCTGCATCATTCAATATTTTGCCCAGAGCAACCTTCAATATTGCAACTTGAAGCTCAAGTTCTTTCAGCCTGAGAAATGCCAAGTGTGTTCTTCCCCTTGGGTTTTGTAACTCCAGGTCTTTGCACACTTCACTATAATAATTTGCTTTCTCTTCTTGATTTGCTCTTTTATCTTGTCACTTCTTCCATTCATTTTAGCTACTCTCCATTGAAGATCAAGTTTCAGAGTCTCCTCTAACATCCATTTTGGTCTCTTCCTCCTTTCCTATCTTTTTCGTGACCTTTTGTTTTCCTCATGTATAATGTTCTTGATGTCAACCCACAATTCGTCTGGGTTTACGGTCACTGGTATTCATTGCATCAAATTTATTCTTCAGATGGTCTCTAAATGCAGATGAGATATAATCAAGGTCATATTTTAGCTCCCGTGGACTTGTTTTAATTTTCTTCCAGCTTCAACATGAACTTGCATATAAGTAACTGATGATCTGTTCCACAGCCAGCTCCTGGCTGAAGTTATTAAACTTCTCCATCTCCTCTTTCCATAGATGTTGTCAATCTGATTTCTGTGTGTTCCATTAGGCAAGGTCCACATGTACAGCCGCCGTTTGTTGTTGAAAAAGGTATCTGCAATAAATAACTTGTTGGTCTTGCAAAATTCTATCATGTGATCTCTGGTGTCATTTGTATCACCAAGGCCGTATTTTCCAACTACCAATAATTTTGGTTTCCAATAATTAATACATCCTGATTGCATGTTCAGTCCATTTCAGACTGCAGAAGTTGGTAAAAATCTTCAATTTCCTCATCTTTGGCTTTATAGCTTGGTATGTAAATTTAAAGAATAGTAGTATTAACTGGTCTTCTTTGTAGCCATATGAATTATTATCCTATCACTGATAGCATCGTACTTCAGGATAGATCTTGAAGCATTCTTTTTGACAATGAGTGCAACACCATTCCTCTTTGTCATTCCCAGCATAGCAGACAGTACGACTGTCTGACTCAACATGGCCAATACCAGTCCATTTCAGCTCATTGATGCCTAAGATATTGATCTTTATGCATTCCATTTCATTTTTGACAACTTCCAACTTTCCTAGATTCATACTTCGTACATTCCACATTCTGATTATTAATGGATGTCTGCAACTGTTTGTTCCTGTTTTGAGTGGTGCCACATCAGCAAACGGAGGTCCCCAAAGCTTTCCTCAACGACTGTGAGGAGGCAGCTCTTCCCCAGTTGTGTTGAGTGCCTTCCAACCCCAGGTGTTCATCTTCCCGCACTACATCATACAATGCTTCAAGGCTAGTCATAAAGTTTTCCAGTAATATATCAGGGAGTGTTTTGCTGCTCTTCATTAGGTTTTCACCAGCCAAGGTTTTCAGAAGTGGATAGCCCCGTCCCTCTTCCCAGTGTCTTAGTCTGGAAACGCTGCTAAAACCTGTCCACCGTGGATGGCCCTACAGGTATTTGAAATACCAGTGACATAGCCTGCAGCCTCACAGCAACACAAGTGCAATAAACTGACAAATGAGCAGTGAGTAATGTAAATACTAGGTATCAATTTAAACAAAGTTTTATATAATCATATTTGGAAAACAGGAGAAAGGAAGGTGCATGTGTTTCTTGTGGGGGGTGGGGTGCGGACGGAAATGTAGGAGTGCCAAAGCCTTCTCTTCCACAGAAGGACATCAACAGATGACGTCTAAACTGGGGAAATCAGGAATCAGCTGTTGCGGGGGTCTGTTGCGGCGGCCTCAGGGTAAGCTTACCGATTGATCACTGGAATGTCCGAGTCCACGCTGGGGCCACTGTGCCAGTCAACCTCACGGAGGGTTCCCTCCTTTTTGCTGACCCGCTACTTTACCCACCATGATGTCCTTCTCTAACAACTGTCTCTTCCTGATGATGTGTTCAAAGTGAGACAGCCACAGTCTGACCATCCTCACTTCTAAGGAGCACTCCGGTTTTATTTCTTCGAAGAATGATTTGTCCATTCTTCTGGCAGCCTGCCATATAGTCAATATTCTTCGCCAGCACCACACAGCTGGAATGCACCGATTCTTCTGTCTTCCTTTTTCATTGTCTAGCTTTCCCACACATGAGCTGATAGAAAAGACCATAGCCTGGGTCAAACGCATCTTAGTCATCAAAGCGACATCTTTGCTTTTTAAAACTGTAAAGAGATCTTTTGTAGCAGATTTGCTCAATGCAATACATCCTTTAACTTCTTCACAGTTGTTTCCATGGGCACTGACTGTTGATCAGTAACCGGGGCAATGGAAAGGGCTAAAATGGGTATTTCAAAGAAGGCCCCCCAAGGAGGAGGACCAGCACTGACCACAGTCTGTCTCATGATGAGGGAAAACCTGGCTATAGGACTGCTTGGTCGGAAATGATCAGGGAACGTCCAGAGCTGGCTTACCCAACCAAAGGAGGGGGAGGGAGGAGAGGGCAGATCATATGATCTATGAAAATTTCTAAGTTTTCACACCCCGGACTCTGTGATTTGGAGGGTTGGCGGGGGGGCCATCATCATCTCAGTAACTTTAGGAATCACCTTAGAATAATAATTTCCACAACTTCTCCAAAGAAGTCCTAATATAAAAATTGTATTTCAGCTCAAGTTTCTCTTCATAAATTTTATTTTGCTGTTCTTGACAACACACAGTAAACCAAAACCACCAAGTCCACACCTGCAACACTACCACTTCGTGCCACTGATTACACTTTTCAAGTTGTAAAACCATTCACACCCTCCTTTTCTGAGTTGTTCCTTCCCCATTAACACAGATCTTCTGCCTGGAAGGTTCTGATCTAATCTTTCGAGCTGCTGTCAGTCTGATCCCAAAGAGACAGTTCTTCAAAGAGCATTATTGCTCAAGGCTGACATTTTTTACTAGTTAAGGTAAACTACTGCTTGATTTTAAGAAGACTTCAGGGTATATTTTTGGTTTAAGGTTAAACGATTATCTCAGGGCAATAGTTCCAGAGATTCCTCAAACCTTCATGGCTCCAGAAGTCTGGAGTCCAAAAGAATTCGAGATTTTGTTCTGCATTTTCCCCTTTCTTATCAGGATTCTTCCGCAGAATCTCTGATCTAAATGTTCAGTAATGGCAGCCGGGCACCATCCAGTTCTCCTGGTCTCATGGCAAAGGAGGCAGCTGTTCATGGAGGCAACTGACCACATATCCCATTTCCTCCTCCTGTTCCTGATTCTCCTCCCTCCTCTGTTGCTCTAGGTGAACAAAGACCGAGCGCTGTGCCTTGGATGGCCACTTGCAAGCTTCTAAGACGCCAGGCACTACACACAAACTAAGAGACAGAGCAGAAGCACTAAACATGCCATTAGGTCAGTTAAATGGGCTGTCCCATGACACGTGACTCTAAACCACCAAACCAAGAAAGCAAATTCCATGAGGTGAGTTTTTGATTGTACACAGCAGCCTCAGGAGCTACTCTTTTACTGTTGTTGTTGTAAATACATCTCTCATACAACATGTGCCAATTCAAGTTTTTACAGGTGGACAACTTATTGACAGTAATTACGACAACCGGCTGTGCAGCCCTGCCCTTAATCAATGCCCTGTTTCCATCACTGTTAACCCTCCATTTTCCCTTCTCTCCTGCCCCTGATAACCACTGATAAACATGTTCTCTATACACTTGCCTTTTCTCATCTTATTTAAGTGAGGGCATATAATATTTGTCCGTTTGTGATTGATTCATTTCCCTCCGCATAGTATCTTCCAGCTCCAGCCATATTGTAGCATACATCGAGACTTCACTCCTCCTGGCCGAGCAGTACCCACTGCGTGTATACACCACATTCTGCCTGTCCCTTCACAAGCTGATGGTCATGCAGGTTGTTTCCATCTTTCGGCTGTTGTGAACAGTGCTACAGTGAACCCTGGTGTACAAGTCTCTGCCTTTAAGTTCTTGGATATATACTTCTCTTTGAATCTCTAATTCTTATCACTGTTGTTGGTGCTGTTGTGTTGGTTCTGATTCACAGCAATCCCAGCTACAAAGCAACAAAATGCCGCCCATTCTTGCGCCATCCTCACCATGGTTGCTGTGTCTGAGTCCACTGTCGCAGCCACTGCCATTCAGGATCTTCCTTCTGCTGACCCACTACTTTGCCAAGCATGATATCCTTCTCCAGGGACCAGTCCCTCCTGATGACATGCCCAAAATATGTAAGACAAGTCTCCCCACCCTCCCTTCTAGGGAGCATTCTGGTTGTACTTCTTTCAAGATGGATTTGTTCCTCTGGCAGTCCGTGGTATATTCAATATGCTTCACCAACACGATAACTCAAATGCATCCACTCTTCTTGGGTCTTCCTTATTCACTGTCCAAGTTCCGTACGTACATAAAGCAATTGAAAATACCACAGCCTGGGTCAGGCACACCTTAGTCCTCAAAATGACATCTTTGCTTTTTAACACTTTAAAGAGATCTTTTGCAGCAGATGTGCCCAATACAGTATGTAGTTTGATTTCTTTACTGCTGCTTCTATGGGCATTGATTATGGATCCAAATAAAATGAAATACTTGACAGCTTCAATATTTTCACCATTTATCATGATGTTGCTTGGCCCAGTTGCAAGGATTTTTGTTTTATGTTGATGTGTAATCCGTACCGAAGACTCACTCTTTGATCTTCATCAGTGTTTCAAGTCATCTTCAGTTTTAGCAAGCAAGGTTGTATCATCTGCTAATAAATTAATAAGTCTTTCTCCAATTCTGATGCCAGGTTCTTCCTCATATAGTCCAGTTTCTCAGACTATTCCTCAGCATACAAACCAAATTAGGATGGTGAATGGCTATAACCCTACCATACCCTTTTCTTGATTTTAAACCAAACAGTATCCCCTTGATCTGTTAGAATGACAGCCTCTTGGTCTATGTACAGGTTCTGCATGATCACCATTAAGTGTCCTGAAATTCCCATTCTCAATCTTATCCAAAATTTGCTATCATCTACATAGTCAAACGCCTTGGCATAATCAATAAAACAGGGGTAAACATCTTTCTGGTATTCTTTGCTCTCAGTCAAGATCCATCTGCCATCACAATGACATCCCTTGTTCTACATCCTCTTCTGAATCTGCATGAATTTCTGCCATTTCCCTGTCAACATACTGCTGCAACCATTTTTGAAGTATCTTCAGCAAAATTTTACTTGTGCATGACATTGATGATACTTTCAATGATTTCTGCATTTTGTCATATCACCGTTCTTTGGAATGGACACAAATACGGATCTCTTCTAGTTGGCTGACCAGGTAGGTGTCTTCCCAATTTATTGGCATAGATGAATGAGCACTTCCAGTGTTTCATCCATTTGCTGGAACATCTCAACTGGTATCCTGACAACTCCTGGAGCCTTACTTTTCACCAAAGCTGTCACTGCAGCTTGGACTTCTTCCTTCAATTCCATCAGTTCTTGATTATATGCTACCTCCTGAAATAGTTAGACACTGACCATTCTTTTTGATACAGTGGTTCTGTATTCCTTCTATTTTCTGATGCTTCCTGCATTGTTCAATATTTTCCCCATAAATCTTTCAATATTGCAACTCAAGGCTTGAATTTTTTTCTTCAGTTTTCTCAGCTTGAAAAATGCCAGTGTGTTCTTCTCTTTTGGATTTCTAATTCCCGGTCTTTGTACACTTCATTATAAACTTTACTTTTTCTTCTCAAGTTGCCCTTTGAAACCTATTCAGCTCTTTTACGTCATCATTTCTTCCGTTCACTTTTACCTACTCTATGTTCAAGAGCAAGTTTCAGAGTCTCTTCTGACATTCAGTTTGGTCTTTTCTTTCTTTCCTATTTTTAAAATGACTTTCTAGTTTCTTCATGTATGATGTCCTTGATGTCATCCACAACTCATCTGATCTTCAGTCACTATTGTTCAATGCATCAAATCTATTCTTGAGGTGGTCTCTAAGTTAAGGTGAGGTATACTGAAGGTCATACTTTGGCTCGCATGGACTTGTTTTTTAATTTTCTTTTCAGCTTCAACTTGAGCTTGAATATGAGGCACCTGAGGGTCTGAGTCAGCCCTAAATTTGTTTTGACTAATGATCTGGAGCTTCCCCATCATATCTTTCCACAGATGTGTTGTTGTTGTTATGTGCCATTGAGTCGGACCCAACTCATAGTGAGCCCTCCTTGGGTTTCTGAGGCAGTATCACTACGGAAGTGGACTGCCCAACCTTCCTTCCGAGGAGTGGCTGGTGGGTTTGAAACCCCAACCTTCTGGTTAACAGTCAAGTGCCTTAGGCACTATGCTACCAGAGTCAATTTAATTCCTGTGCATTTCACTGGGCAAACTCCATGAGTATGTATAGTTGCCATTTATGTTGTTGAAAAAAAGGTATTTCCAATGAAAAGGCTGTTGGTCTTGCAAAATGCTACCACATGATCTTTGCTTTATTTTTATCCCCATAGCCATAAATTCCAACTACTAATCCTTCTCTGTTTCCAATTTTCATGTTCCAATCACGAGTAATAACCAATGCATTTTGATTGCATGTTTGATCAATTTCAGACTGTAGCAGTTGGTAAAAATAATCAATTTCCTCATCTTTGGCAATAGTGGTTGGTGTGAAAATTTGTATAACAGTTGTATTAACTCATCTCCCCTGTAGGCAATGGATATTATCCTTTCACTGACAGCACTGTACTTCAGGACAGAACTTAAAATGTTCTTTGTGAAAATGCAACACCAACCCCTCTTCAAGTCGCCGTTCCAGGCCTGGTAGATGGTGTGGCTGTCTGATTCAAAATGGCCGACACCGGTCCACTGCAGCTCGCTAAAGCTTAGATACTTCCTGATCTGTGTTCCACTTCATTTGTGGCGGCTTCCAATTGTCCCAGATTCCCATCCTGTATGTTCCATGTTCCAACTGCTAATGGACGTTTGCAGCTGTTTCTTCTCATTTTGAGTTGTGGCGCCATCAGCAAGTGAAGCTCCCACAAGCTCTACTCCGTCCCCATCATCAAGGCCGACCTTCCCTTGTGGAAGCAGTTCCTTCCCCTCAGTACTGAGGGCCTGGCCGCCTGAGGCTCATCTTCGGGCAGGCGGTCAATACGCAGGCTGCTATTCATAGGACTTCACTGACCAGTTTCCACAAGTAGACTGCCAGGTTGTTTTTCCCACTCTGCCTTAGTCTAGAAGTGCCACTGAACACTGTCCACCATGGCTGACCCTATGGGTGTCTGAAATACCAGATGCATAGCTTGCAGCAACCCAGCAACATGCAAGCCACCACAGTATGACAAACTGAGAGAGGTGCCATTCCTCACTAAAGACAACAAAAACCCAAAGTCCCCAATTATATCATCTATCCTCCTGACAAAGTCTTTATCTAAAAACAATTCTGTGGCCACTATTTCCTACCAATCAAAAAAGCTGCACAAAAACCTAATACTCAACACAGGCTGCTGAGAGCCAAGCCAGGAAGACTTGGTACCTCATAAAAACCAAACAAACCCCCGTTGCCACTGAGTCAAGTCTGACTCACAGCTACCCTACAGAGCAGGGCAGAACTGCCCTATAGGGCTTCCAAGGCTATGATCTTTTTTTTTTT